CACGCCCCCCGCCGGCGCCTCCGCTGGGAATCAGGCCGCGCGGAAGACGCGACCGAACCGGGCTCCGGGGCTGATGAGCTCGTTGGTCCCGGTGTTGCTGGCAGCCCTCTCCCCTTCTTTTTCTTTTTCGCCTTCCCCCGCGCTCGCCTCCTCCTCTTCTTCTTCTTCTTCGTCTCCAGCCGATGGTGCTGGCTGCTGGGGCTCACCATGGGCCGCGGCCCCGCATGGTGGGAGGGTGGGCGCGGAGGGAGTGGAGCCGCCGCCGCCGCCGCCGCCGCCGCCGCCGCTCTGAGCCCAGCCCCGCGCCTCCTCTCCGCACCGTTTATCTTGCTTGGATTCACCTTCAAGAGATTTCCGGACCCATCAGCCAGCCGCCGCCACAGACGGGGGAGTCTTTTACATCATTATCTCTGAGTAGGTTATTATGAGGAAGACTCGCCTGTTGGGACAGCGCTTGCTACCCAATCAGGTTAACGTTTTAATTAATAGGATTAAAACGGTAACAAACAATCGCAGGCGCTATCTGGCCGCGAGTCTGAATAGTTTCATTTCCCAGGTCTGAAGACAGGCAGCAGCGAGAGCTTTATAAAAGGCGCCTGCTCCGTTATTCTGCCTGCCATCTGTATACACAGCTCAGCGCATATGTTTGCAAGGCGCTGGGTCCTGTTAGTAACCCAACAACTGCCTTTAGCTTGACATGTGTGGCGACTTTCACTCATCAATGAGCACACTAAAAGCCCTACTTAGAGGCGAGGATGTTCTTTGCTCCTTCAGCAAATTGTGGATCGGCGGCGAAGCCTGGGAGTCCCGTCGAAAGCCACCTCCCCCCACCCCCACCCCCACCTCCAGCCCCCACCCCCACTGTCCTTCCCTCGCCACTGCTGTCTCATCTTGTGCTAAATTACCCTTCCGGGCTGGAATTATACTCCACCCATGTTCATAGGATGACACTGGTCTGGATTTGGAGATGGGACTTTGGGGGTTGGGGGCGGACTTGCCCAAATTTCACCTTAGATTCTCAACTAGTTAAGAGAGCAAAGCAATCGTCCCCCCCTTAAACACTGACTTATTTCCACCCCACCCCCCGCCCATTTCCAACCAGGATTGGGGAAGAAAGAGAAAAAGAAAAATGAAGAGCAAATTGATTATGCAGCCCATTCGATTAAAAGGGGAGGGGGGTGCCTTTGCCCGATTTCCAAGTCACTGCTACAGTGTGATGGTGACTGAAGCACACGACTTCCTAAACAGGAAGGAACTAATTCCTCAAAGTTTCCTCCAGATTTAAAAATCCCGTGGTTTCGGAATAACCAACTTCACGGGGAGTCGAATCCTCTCCCACCCCAAGTGGGGCATTTGTGCATATTTGCATATATTTTTTTTGCCCGGAAACGTCTCCGCCAGGGCTAGGAAGCCCCGTGGGGACATCGGGACCAGCCTGGTGGCTCTGGGCGGGCTGGTAGAGGCAGGTAGGTGAACAGCGCTCCTCTCCGGGTGGGAAGTGGTACACGCCGTCCGCTCGCTCCCCAGCTGCGAGTCTGGGAGCACATGGTACTTAGCGGCTGGTGTGCCTCCTTACGACATAAGTAAAAACAATATTTCCCAACACCTCCAATAAATCTTTCTTGTGTGGCAGGATTGCTGAAGCCTCTGAGGTTTTTGGTTTCTCCGGTTTCATTAAAAACCTTTTAATTGTGGCGTTCCGAGTTGGCCCCAGGTGTTGGACTCTTTTCATTACATTTTGCTCTAATGTGATGAAATTCTAATTCTCTCCTTACCATATGGTTAAATTTCCCAACTGAGAATTAGTTGAAAAAGGAGAAATAATCTATTAATCTCTGTAATAGATTCACAAATGAGGTTCGCCACAGAACCTGTTTTTGAATGGTGATATTTAGAACAGTTGGGCGCCTCGTTCCATAAAGGAAGGGCGAGGCCGACGCAGAAGCGCCTGCACGGTCACCTGGAAAGGCTGCACAGGGGCCCAGCGGCATCTTCCCACACTAATTGTCTGAGACGCAGTCTCTCCGGGACCGCAATACTTGCCAGTCGTCGGTTACCTTCGCGCCCTAGAATTTACTGGAACCCAAAGATTGACAAAGAGCACGCGGGCTGCGGGAGGCTTCCCAGCCTGGGACCGAGGCCGGCGGTTCTGGAAGGCTTGAGCCAGCCCACGGGTCTCGCCGGGGACCCCAAAGCCCCCCGCTCCCCGCTCCCCGCCCCCTCCCACCTTCCCTTCCCGGGCGCTCGCAGCTGTTAACCTCTCCCTTTAGGAAGTTAAAGACACGCTCCTGTTACTGTTTTTTCAATGAGCAGCTTGCTTTTCCTGGGATTGTAAACAAAGGCTCTCTATAAACAATGTAGGTAAGTCGAGAGTGCCGTGGCTCTGGGAGGAGTGGAGACGTGTCCCGGGCGCCTGATTCGGTTCTTCATGGAGACAGCCTTTCCAGTGGGCTGGCCCTTTCCGCGGGACGCCTGGACGCCTGCCGGCCAGTCAGTGGGCATTGGAAGGGCCAGGTGGGAGCTTGGGCGTAGCTGGGTCCTGCAGGGCCGGGAAGCCCAGCAAGGGCGACCACAGAAAGCAGCCAAGACGCCTCTTGACCCGGCTTAGAACTGGGACCCTCGCAGGACCCTGGTCCTTCGCTGCTGTCAGATAACTACGCGCGTCCTAGCCCGTCCCCGCCCCCACCTCCACGCCATCCCAAAATCTGGTGCAAACTTTTGCGCAACTTTATTTCACTCAGTAGGAGCCCAAAACCTTAGAGGCTCAAGACTCAAGAAAATCCCCCAGGTCTTCCCGGAGGAGGTGGCAGCTTACTAGACAGTGGACATTCAGCTCCGGGAGACTGCCCGAGAATTTATAGCAGCTCTACATGTGGGCCCGTAACAACCGTCGGGGAATGGTCTTCGAGGTTTACGCACTCGTAAACTTTTGCTGATTGCTTCTGGGAAGTTGTCAGGCACTTAGCACTGCGTGCATCTTACAGGGCAATGAAAACACATCTGCCTGGTGTCTCGTTACCTGGGTTAATCGTCGCCAGCCCTACGTCACGGCCTAGGCTCTCTCTCTCTCTCTCTCTCTCTCTCTCTCTCTCTCTCTCTCTCTCTCTCTCTCCTCACTTGAGTGGGATCCCGCCGCCTGGTTTCGGGCCAGCGGAGGGAGGGCGTCTGCTGCGGATTCCGTGCCCTCTGCCCGCAGGGGCTCGGGAACTCTGTGCACTTGAACTTTGTTCCGCCAGGAAGCGGCTCCTGATGTGGCTCCTGATGTAACTAGCAAGTTGGAAAAGTGGCAGAGGACAAGTCAAAATAAACACATTCTGGCTCCCCGGCGGGAAGGAGTGGGCAGGAAAGGGTGGGAAATGAGCCGCGGGGAAAGCCCCTGACTCCCTGATGACCCCAGAGAGGGACGCACTGGAGGTGAAGTCCCCTGATGGTGCATTTTCAGAGGTCACTGTGAGTTACCTAAGCATTTGGGCACAGGAAAGGCAGGGACTGTCTCCTTTGCCCGCAGCACGGTGGGGGGAAGCTCAGTCCACTCGGCAGGCGGGCTTTGCGGGGGGCGTGGGGGCGTGGAGGGGACGGTC